AATGGTGATTACGGATTATAACGAAACCTTCTGTGTGTTCTACTGACCTCGAAACCACTGTCACTGCAGACTCTTTCACTGCAGTATCGCACGCTTGTGCAAAGACACCGCGTTTAAAGTAAACTTATATTCTTCCGTTACCGTGCTGATACGCGTCACGAGAATGAAATAAAAAGTTATTTTGTTTCAATGCTCATAATAAACGTAGAGCTTGCCTCGTTGTTAATTCATCTTTCCATACGTAATAAATTCGGAGAGGATAAGAAAGAACATCTATAATTACAGTTCTCCCGAAATCTAAAATTCTAACAGGATATTACTTGAACTCCGTGACATTAGAGGAAATAGAATAATTTTATTATCAATGTGTAGGTATACAAGTATAAATATTTGTAGGTGAAGTCATTGGAGTCCAACAGACTAGGATATTTTATTAAGAAAATTAAAAAAATATCACAGGACATTTATTCAGTCTTATATAACAGTAAATTTCGGACAATTAAAACAGATACGTCGGAATATAATAAGATACGATAAAACTATTAAAACACCCAGAAAAATAATGCTACATGAAATAATGGAAACACAACAAATTTTAGCGATCGTTTGAAAAATTTGTCAAAGTAACAAATTAACTTATTATTATTTACGTATGTAAACTTATTATTTAAATTATAAATACACAAAGCGACGTCTCCGAAGGAATGTTTCAAAGCTTTCGTTTAGTTGGGACAACCTGTGTATTGGTATATAAAAAAATAATGAACATTTATATCAAATAACATCCTATTTGGTAGAAGATTCAAAGAAAACACAAACATGAATAAACGAATTCAACGAAAAAAAAACGAATTAAATGCATAGTTAATTAAATATGTGCAGATGAGTTAAGTGCATAACTGTGAACTCGTAGAATATTATCCAATGACTGTATTAATCTTTACAAATACCAGATGAAATAAAAGAAAATATTATGATAAATAAAAATATACCATACAGTATTAGACTGATAAATTATTATTGTTATGTACATATCTTTATTATTCAAAACGATGTACAGTCAAACCAGAGAATCAAGAACTAGAACTGAAATGAATTTACGTTGTTAGTTCAAAAGTCAAGGTGCAGCTAAAAGCTGTTTTTAACCCAGTTATAATGCAGTAAAGTAGAGTGTTATATTCTTACATTATTTATATCATTTTAATTTCTTTGGTTCCTTTGAATCCTTGTGAACAGATCTGTAATAAAATATTGAACTTATGTTATTCAAGTAATAACATAAAACATGAATAAGTAACAGGCAATGGTCCCAATTAACGGTGAGCAACGGTCCGAGTATTAAAGGGCTCGGTTTCACATGAAACCCGTCGAATTTGAATAGATACCATGAAGACATTGGAATACATTTGACCACGCCCATTTAAGTTCATTCGTTGCAAAATTATATACAGAGGAATAACAAGATTTAGCAACTTGAACAAATCTCGTGGCAATTCATTCGTTACACTGTCGAGACATAGCGAGAAGGAAAAAAATAAAAATAAAAGTAGAACTCTGTACCTGAAGGCCAAACCGATCCAAGTTCACTTTTTGAGAATTTAAATATATATACCGTGTAACTATTTCTTATTTTTCTAAACAGAATAACAGAAATCTATTACATTGTAAATAAGAACATGGTAATATAAATCCTGTACCTGAAGCACAACGTTGAATTTTCTATTCTTTGTTTAGCTCTATAGAAAAATAACAATTAATATTGAAAGCGAATTTGAATTGTTCTGGCCCTCAGCTACAGAATTTACACCTTACTCGAGTCATACAAATTTTGATAAAAAAAATGTTTATCAATTAAACTACATAACAATAGCTTACGTGCTAGATTCGTACGCTTCTTCCGGCAATTGTTTCACTGTGTCTTTTTCAGGATGATCCACTGTGTCGTTCTTTAACCTCCAGAGTCCTCCTGCGTACCACAACAGGACACAAGAAAGACTTAAAAACGAGGTGAAATGAAGAGCGGCTATGTAACTGTTTGTTGTATCGTGGACCACACCTTGAACATAAAAGGAGCAAACATCATATTAATAATTAATGATCAATTCATTAATTATATAATTATACACCTGCACTTTTAACTTTTGATACGGAGTTTGATCAAATTAATTTGTATCAATAGATTAACAATCTTTTTTTACACATTCCATTTTCTTATTTTTCTAAATTAATCCCATTGTTCTCCACAAAATTCAACCGTATAATACAATTTTCATACAAGGTGATTAAAATTACATTTAAAACTGAACTTAAACTTGAATAAACATTGCGAATGAAATATTCAGTTACCTATGATTGGGCCTACAGCAATTGACAATATGCCATTGCAAACCATTTGCATGCCTGAGGCACCCGCCAGTCTTTTAAGTGGAACGTAGTCAGGGATTATCAATGCCTGGAAAACAGCTTTCGTCCCTTTTGCAACGCCAATGATCAGCGCAACACAAATGACGACAGTGTAACTGCTTCCCCAAATCGATAATACTGAAACCAATGATGTTTATTCTAATAAGTATCAATTCAAGTAAATGCATGATTAATTTGTAATGAATATAAACAGGAACAAATAAACTATACTCTACTAAAATAATTAAGAAAATTTTTAACGCATATACTACCTTAAAGATTTAATTAATATTTCAATTATTGTTCTAAAAATCAATGTTTAAAAACAACTAATCAGTCAACAAAATCATCGACTAATAAATATTATACTTACTAGTCCTTCCAATAGTGGACCCTATCAAGGACAAGACATAAAGATTCCTTGACGTCCAACCAGCCTTTTGTGCCAACAGTGGAACACAAAGACGTCCCATAATATCTGAAGCAGCCTGAATCGACATCACCGTTGCGATCGAGGACCTTTGGAGTCCCGATAGTTCAGCGAGGATGAATGGTATTAATGCGTTGAAGTTTGTTTCGGCGACCAGGGATATTCCCATTCCTGTTACACAAGAAATATCATTCGCAGCACAATTGAACAAATTGCAACAATAAAATGAATATAATACATAGAATACGGAGTACAATATAATAATAAAAAACATAGAATACAAAGTTTTCTTTGAAGGATTTGAAGCTGGCAACTATTGTATATTTATATACACAATGTGTATTAATATTAAAAAAAGAATTTTATGTTTGATAGAAATATTATTAGCAATGTAACGTAAAGGAAATTTTTAACGATGGGATGAGATATTTTATGATAAAACTTTTACACAAATATTGAAATTTTTGAAGATAAAAATAATACCCAATATGACTGCAACGTAGCGACTATCCTTCAACATATCGAGATCCAAATGCTCGGAAAGTGTTGACAGGAACTTCTTTTTCTTTCCCGTTTTGTCCACGGTAGTAGAATCTGACGTGGACAGTTCCTTCGGCGTTTTCGTTTCAGAATTCTGGACTTTACACAAAAGTTGACGTTTGCTCTCGACATCGTTATCGTCAGTCTTGTCCCCGAGATTTAATTCTTCAGACCCTTTCATAATGCCAGTGTCGTTGCATTCTACGGAAGATTCCATGATGTCATTGTCCTTCGCAATACATGACATCTAATTGAAATGAAATCTGACGGTGAACGTCAATCATTGCTTTCCCCTGCGATAAGTAGATATATTAAGAAGACACGAAACTGCAATGATAAAATCTACAACGTATGTTAATTACATTCGTAGAACGGAAATTGTAAACTTCGTCACATCAATATGCAAAAGTTAAGATAACAACATCTGTTGATCAACGTTAATATTCATCCTTCAATTATAATTAGAATATATTTCAAATTTTACAGCTGTAGCTCTGAATTTCTTTTTCGAGATCATGTTTTTAATGTCTCCAATGTCAACCGTATTTTCTATTTAAATGAAGTAATAATAGAAGTTTATACTTTCAAAAATAAAATCCTATATAAATATTATCTAGCAATAATTTAAAAAGAGCATTACTGCTGACGATCTTATACAATATTATCAAAGCCCTTGTTTACATAGAATATACATTTCACGTCGCGTTCAGTGTCTCCTTAATAACACTCGCACCCTAACATTCTTGTGACTTACTTCCGTTTCTTTAAATGGTTTCAACAACGATGCTCCAATTAACGCATGCATCGCAATACCGGATATGATTATGAGCGTCCCGGTGGTGGCATAATTCTCCAGCAACTTCGTGATCAAAAGGGGCATTAAGATGGGACCAAGACCGGTGAGGGTCACCGAGCATCCCATCGCCATGTTTCGTTTCTTCCGGAAATACGTGTTCATTGCTAAAGTGGTCGCTGGAAACATGATTCCGTAACCGACACCTGCAAATTATTACACGATCAAATTCCGCGAAAACCCATTACAAAGACGACTCAGTATGAACAACTGGAAAATACATTCGTTAATTGAATAATAAATTGAAAAATTGAAAACAATAGAACTACTAGATTCTAATTCCTTTTACAATTACCGAAAAGGGACAGATGTTTCTTTTAGAAATTCTTAAGGAAACCTGATTCGGTAATACTTACTCTGAAACACAAACTAATTGAAATCTTAACACGTTGCGTACCGGCTAATTTCAGAAAACTGAATTGTACAACTTATATCACTGTACATAGAAAAACTCATATATCATATTGTTATGTAATATATTTTAAATAGATAATCAATTCGAATTAAATTTTATATTTTTCTCAATGCTGTGGTAATTAGCGAAGTTGCATAGCTAAGTGTCTTTGTATAAAAACGAGATTTCTCGTTACCGGTGCACAATGTGTTAATAAATACTAAAATAGTTTTCTAAAGAAATTTGAAGGAGTCAGTTTAAGTGGTTGGTAGTTCTAGTGTTGAAATACTTTAATGAATCGCAGTTCTGAATGAAATAATACGTTGACATAAATTACTCACCCACGACAATACAGTAAGTCATGATAATGGAAGGAACAGAAACGGCGAACGCTGTCATACAGATGCCAGCCGCGATCGTCAAACTGCCGACGAAGGCGACCTTTCGAAACGTGAATCTTCTCATCATTGGCCCGCTTATCAAACCTAGGCTGCACGTGATTGTCCCATTTAAATGAAGGATTAACGATGTTTGTGTGGCAGCAATACCGAGCGAAAGGAAACGTTCCGTGAAGATGAGACCGAAACATTGCTGTATTGGTAATGTCGACATCTGCAACAATGTTCCGTTTAAAACACATTTACACGAGATCCTGTATTTTTTCGAACAACAAAGTATCTCCTGAAAGATCGTGAATACTTAAACTACGAATATCTCGGATTTGAAAAAGAAATTTTAGAAGACATCGCTGGTACGTATTGGAAAAGTTAAACTAATAATTAAAGAATTCGAATATTTGTAATATTACATTGTTTACAGAACTATGGGAAACATGTTTCTTAAATGTATTAATAATCGTTGAAAAATATTATACATTAATATTAATTGATTCTGTCAAGGGATTCTGGACTGTGTCAGAAAAGCTCTGAACGTAAACTTCGGATTTCATTTTCTCTCTTAGAACAAAGTTTATCCAAAAAATTATTAACATTGTTAATATGATTTGCCGGTTAATAAATCAATACTAGTAAATTAGAATATTACTGAATTATTAATATAATTAGCTTATTGCTTAATAATTATTGTTAAATACCATTTAAATTCGAATGCAAACGGAAATAACAATTTCTTTTACACCCACAATGGTGATACATGCTGATGGTGTCTATTTATCTTTACAGCAAATACAGACGCGTTAAATGTGCAGGACGAATTGATGTTCAGCGCGGGGTAGATTTCAATAACACTTGCAAGCCCCATGATAGTTCAGATAATCCACTTAAGCAGAAGCGTCGAGTTAGTTTTCAAGTACATTAACCGAATGAACTGATTAAAAGGCGGCAGTATAATTTAGCTGACTCACTATGTCAATGCTCACAGTTCTCCCCCCTTTTCTGTCGTTGTAAATACGAGCTAAAGTAATTACGTGCTCTATGAGTGGCTTAACAACTCTAAATCACAGGAAATATCCTTTATAAGATCAGTCAAAAGTGATCTCAGTCGCGAATCGTCCGTATCAGAACATCGACAAATACTAATCTTTTTTTTTCTATAATTAACCATGTTTATGCCACGAAGACAGCTGAGGAAATTGAAAAGGAAATGCATATTCAGTAGAATGCTTTAAAATATCTATTGTAGGCAGATAAAGACATCAGAATTGTAAATATATGTATCTCTGAGACAGAACCTCATTAAAATGTTTAATGAAATACTTCAAGAGCTCCGTTGAATATATTGCTACTTTTCCTTGTACGATGTCGATCTACTTTGCTTAGTCTCAGTTTTCACGCTTGATTTATCGTTGCTCGAGGAAACATGTTCGTGATTTTGAAACAGGATCTCAGTAATTATTCCATCATTTACATATTTTCCATGCGATGTATCTCAGATGATTAAGCCGTTTCATTGCTCCGTGATTCGATTTAGTAAATCTCACTGGAGCATCGTATCTACATTGTTACTGCTTTCCTTAAGTAAACGTAGTTAATAGATTATTGACCTCTTTTATCGTGTGATTCGCGTATACAGATATAAGAATTGCATGTATATTACATTTATCGCTTTCGAACGCATGGAGATAATAGATACATCTGTACACCTAATGATTAGATACTCATGTAAAGTATTACAATATGGCTCTTCTGACACGAGTGTCTTCGGTATCTCTGTTCCTTTCGATAACGTCAAAAAAAATTCAACACCTCGTTCCTTTCGACAATGTCAAAAACAATTTTCCAGTGACTCGTTTACTTCGATAATGTCACAGAAGATTTTGTAAAATAATCGCATTTTATTTGATACTAACACCATAACCACAACTTGCAGCTAATACCAATTTCATTCATTAAACCGGCGAAATGCCGATTAAAATCTATGCTAGCTAGAAAATTCGTACGAACTTTCCCCGGTGCCTAATACTTGGAAAATTTCGATAAAACCGTGTCTTCTAAAACTAGCGAAAAGAAACAAAAGAACCTTTGTAAATGATTCGATCGCATTCAATTACCCTGCATTATGCTGCCTACGCTTAGATAGATAAAACGGAGAATACGCAGCGTGAACGCATCGAGCAGGCATTTAGCATAAACGTGATTATGCATATTTTCCCACACTTTGTGCTTCCACTGTCATATACAATTATCAGTGCTACTCCACAAGGCAGCTACGATAAAATTGTAAAAACATCAAACTATCTCGAGCGAACGGTAATCGAAACTTCCGGTTCAACAGTCGAACGACAGAGGTATACCTACAGTTTATAAAAATTTCAATGAAATATCGATTATCTATGCTCGTTAACAAAGCTTTTGCTTCTGTAGATGAAGTTAGGATTATTGTTACGTAGAATTCGGGTCTGTGACAATGTGATATTATCAAGAAACCGTCGAGATAAGTATAACGCGTGAGATGAAACCAGTATCAAGCTAACGGCAAAAACGCCGCCGAGTGAATCACAGATGATTGCTTTTTTTCAGATGAAGAGGATTATCGTTACAACAGAATTCAGATCTGCAACGATACAACGATATCGGGAAATCGTCGAGACAAGTATAACGCGCGAGATGAAACCAATATTAAGCTAATGGCAAGAACGTCACCAAGCGAATCACCGATGACTGGTGTTTTACAAAGTTATCGTAATTAGAGCGACAAGCATGCGCCGCGGCGCGCGCGTGTCAGCGGAGAAGAGACACTTTTAAATTCGTACGAAAGCGACCGACGGTTTCGTCGCTTCCGCTCGTTGCGACTTACGTTGATGATGGTCACGGCGAGGACGATCATCCAGGCCCAACCTTTGTCCGCCTCCGCGCGCAACATCTTCGCTAACTGCTGCCGTCCTTCAATGTCGGAGACGTCTTTCGGAAATCACAAGGGAGCAGCGTCTCCGTTTTCTTTCTTTCCGTCTAGATGCCGGCGGTAAACTGCAAACATAGCGTGTCTGCTACAAAACCAGGCGGGATTGGACATATGATAAGATACGTAGCAAGTCTGGATAAGCATTAGACGCGCATGCCTACACAGACAAACGTAGAATTGTTTACAGTTCTACCGCTGAAAAGTAAAAGTGTCTCGGGCACACTGTCAAACGACGAGGAACAACGCGGCAATCTTAACCCTTTGCCTCGTAGCGTCCGTCTGAAACTCCTGATGACGATTCCGAGCAGAATTTAACACTGGAACTACCGGATGGGTCAAAATGACCCGTGGTTTCATTTTTTCCAGTTATACAACAGATGACAGATGCTTCTCTGAAAAAGTACTAGAGAAACTGGTTCAGCAATACGCAAACTGAATTGCAAACCAACCGAAGTCTCGATGATTGCACTGTTGAAGTTTCTACAGAACAATTTTAAAAAGACAATTTAACTACTTGGTAGTTCTAGTGTTAATGATAGCTCTCTCTCTCTCTCTCTCTCTCTCTGTGCTTCATAGGAAACGTGGATGCAGAATGAGGCTAGAATTTTTCTCCGTTTTTCTGGTAGATTAGTAATTAATTATTAAAGGAGTTGCGTTGATCATGGTTCAGGAATCAAGTTTAATAGTGAAATTTCTGCTTTCTACTTCTGTCTTCGAAAATCGTTCATTCGGAGCATACACGGTAGACTCTATTAATAAGTTATTATTTTTCGAGATCTAGGTCGTTTAGGGTGTTGGTTGTTCAGGAACTCGATGATTCAGCTTTTTAGATTATACCTCGAGATATGTACGATTAAATTTTGTAAACATTGCTTCTCGGGCCCTCGCTTATCTACATTGTTAATCACCCAATTAAATCAGATAATTGAAGTTCTAATGTAGTTCCTTCGTCGCGTTTTCTCTAGTTACTAAGCAGAAGAAACTAAAAAGAACGTGACGCAAGTTCCAACGTGACGAAGGGGTCTTATAGATGATTATGCATCCCCTGAAACTGTAATTATCAATCGTTATACAATCGAAGCACGCACGTTCTAACGCCAGGTCCGCGTGTCCCTCGCAATCGGTCTCCGGCATCTGTTTTAACACCGGCGTCATGCCATTTTCTATTTAAAAAACTGATCGAACACGCGTTCCTTTCGTGTCTCCTTTTACTCAGACAAATGCAGTTAGGCCACGCCCTGCATCACCTGATTTACCTTCCTGTGAAGTTTTCCTTCGCTTCATCGATTGAAAGCACCTCGGGGGAGCTGCTTCGAAAATATTAGAACAGATACTGGACGCCGAGACTCAAGAAGATTACTGTGAATCGAATAATCTATTTAATTTGGAAAATGTAATTTCAATTTCGAAAATAAAATATACACGTAAGAAGCTAATACAACCAATTAATAGACGAAAATGAGCAATTATAGTAATTCGCGCTGCCTCGACGCCATTGTACCATTTTTACTATACAACGAGCACTGAGACTCGTGAAGATTCCTAAATCAATTCAGTAAAAATCAATATTGTTCATTGTCCATGGATCAAAGCGAAAAACTATTTTGCTATTATCAGTTTACTGTGTTCAAAGTAAATTCGCAGTTACTCGAATGGACAGTTCGTTTCCGTTTCTTCCAAACTGTCGATAGTAAAACGTTACGCGAGGCTAATAACGGAAGTAAATAATACGCCAAAGGGTTTAGCATATCGAACACCATTACTGTCACTCTACAGACAGATACACATGCGTCGATAATGAAATTAGAAGTCACAATTGATAACCGCGCACTGACCTAGGTAACGTTAGAGTTCGAATGACCGAGCGAAGATCATCAGCTAAGAGGATCAGTTCATTGTTCCAAAGTGGAGTACCGGATGCATTCTCGTAAATGCAACTTCGGGAGAGTTACAACAATCTAATGCTATTAAGGGTTGAGAAGGAGAAATCGGGAATCGTTAGTCTTACCGATAAACCGTAGATTATCGCAGACTCAGAGGTCATAGGGCCTACCTCGGTAGATTATAGATTAACTTTCTTACATCTTTCGACCTTAAATTTATATATGCTACGACATTGTACGGTGTAAACTGATATTGGAAATCAGAAGCTTGCTAAAAAGTTTATATTCCGAGAAATTATTCTCAAGAATTATACGGTTCTTTTCTTAATCCATTCGCGGGATAAAAGGAAGTGATTTCTTTCTTGCATTATGAAGCATGTTTTTTTATAAGTATGAGGAAGAATGTTTGTTGAGAAGTCAGGAATCCTAGGATTTATAAATTTTTATAAAATACAAAGTCGAAAACCTGTCACAGCAAGTTTCCACATTCTTGTCGTAGATTCTATGATTCTTTTTGGTTTAAGTGTTAAGTATAACCGTCAATGAGGTCGGAGAAATGAATGTAAAACACAACTATGGAACTTTAAGAAGATGTATCAAATGTTAATTTAACAGTTTGATCGGTCCGGGGCTCATTCGACTGGTTTGATCTCTCGAACTTGAAATTTTCCAAATCTTGAATGCAATCCAAATCTTCAATGCTATTTGCATAAAGAGAAGCCTTGAATTCACAGATTCGTAGCCTCGTTCTCCGTAAGTTGCTTACAATTTAACACCACTTGATACGAACAATTACTATATTAGGAGGCCGATACGTATTATATTCGTGCGAGATTAGATAACGATCTTTTCTAGATAACGATATCCTGCGGTGAACGCGAGCGAGATATAGTATTGTCGCTATATCACTTCAAACTAATCCCGAACTTCGTATCTTTGCGAGACGTTTGAAGTTCTTTTGAACTCGGCAATCAAGAGACCGACTTTACAATGTGTGCGCAGAAGAGCTTGTTTTGAAGTGTATCGCCGATACGACGATTAACGAGAAATATTAGTTATAAATACGAATTTACAAGACGTAAGGTACATATACCTTTCCGTACCGTCGTTGAACAAATATTGACCCTTCGAGGACGAAGATTCTTCGAATACAAAATACGAATACTTCGAATACAGTATACAAAAGCTTCAGCAGGTGAAGCTGAATTACCTATCAATTGCTTAATGAATATAAAAAAGGAAGCTACACGCTGATCCCTTGCTGTTTCGATTAATTAGACGATTTGTTCGCGACTTAGTCTTTCAAATACGAAAGTTTCATCTCCCGAAACGTCGACATTCGCCCGCAAAGGGTTAAAAGTTCGAAAACGATGAAGACGGAAGTGTTATATTGAAATTCGAAATGTTGTATTGCAACAGTCATTCTCCACGTTAACCCTTTGCCCTACAATACAAGTGCCAGACTCGCGACGAAAATTTTAAACAGAATTTGCCAAACCTAAATGTTATTTACTTTCTCTGAATACAAATTGAACGGAACATTTGGAGTAAACGTGGATAAAGCATTTCTTGCTTGAAACTCCTTCTTTCCTCCAATAAGTTATCGACGATAATGTAGTTTCATTAAGCATAGTATGAAAGAAATCGTAACACAACTGGTTAAATCGATTTCGTCGTACTCATCGTTTCGAAAGATTAACGGAAGTCCAGAGAAAGTGACACTTACGTTATAATTAAAGATCGTTAATCAACTTGATTCTTAATCGTCCGTTGAAGAAATGAAAGTTCATCAAGCTGCACACTCTCGTGGAACAAAATAGCGAACGGAACGAAATTCTTCCACGAGGAAGCAATCGAAACATTTTTCCCGTAAAACCAACGAAACTGTTTAGCTGCGCTAACTTTCATGGACACACAATAACGGCCACAATGCAGCTCAACGATTGAAGCCATCAATTCCGAAACGATACAAGTGAACCAGTCAACATTTCGAGAAAGTCAATGCTTCTTCGTTCATTCGTTCGTTATCTATTTTGTTGATTCATCCGCGTTACGTGTACATTTTTAACGCTAGAACATGACTCGATCCTAATTCCCTTTACAAATATTGGAATGACAAATGATTCTTTAAATCGAAATCTTAATAGATGCACCTCTAGCGTTTCTATAAGGAAATTAGAGAAAGGCAATTCGATCTGGAAATATTCAACACCTTTTGACGAGATATAGGCGATATTGTTTGAAACTAATTTAACGATAATTCATAGATAAATTAAGCAACGAAGGCGTTTTATTTCAATATTTCACGTAACAATGCGAAGTTTAATCTGAAATATTAAATATTCAACTTTATAGTTTTTCTGTGTCGAATCAAGTGGCGAGTGAGTCATCTCTTAAGTGCAAAGGGTTAAATAGGTCTGAGTAAGTTAAGGACAGTTAAACTGATAACTCGTATAGATAACGCTAGAAAGAGGACTTGTGCTGTTTTGGAATTCAGAGTTCAATTGTATCGCTCGAAAATGCTGGTTCTCTTCACTGCGCACATTCTGATGTGTTTTTACATTCGTATCTGCACAGAACGACTAAGGAAACAATAGGTGTTTAACACGCGTTCCGGCTGCAGCCGCAGTTTATTCGTGACTGCCTCGATGAATGAAAGTCACCCGATAAACACCGGCTCCGTAACTTCACTCCACGCAAACACTGATCATTGACTCGTGAATTCATGTGCATGCATTATTGAACTTGCTTGAACAAACAATATTTACCCGCACAGTATGTTCCGCGACTAGTAACGTAATGAAGAAAAACAAAAACGATT